AGGGGTATGTAAAGAGTCATTAACCTATGAAAACATTTGCCCTAAGGATGTTACAGACTAAAAATGGAAAGAGATCAAAAGAAGCTAAGCAAGTTTAGGGAGTGATTTCAAAAATAGGATGGGGGTAGAGGGGCACCCCCACAGCTCTGAGTTTCACAGGATATTTATGTTCCGGTGCCATTATCAGGCCAGCAGACTGGATAACTGTTCTAACTCAGCGCTCAGGGATTCAGCTCCTAATAGATCTAAAGCTTTGTTCTATGTTGATAGCATATTAAAGAATCCTGAACGTGTACATGCCATGTGAGCAGCAGCTTTGTCTCATATACCATTGTATCTCCAGTGTCCAGAATACTATCTAGTACATAGTAGGTCTCGATAAGTATCTGTTGAAAGAATAAATGAATGATGTGGCAGAAGTAGCATAATCCCTATAAACACTCATTATAACCTGGGTCCAGAACTGAAGTAATGATTGTCACTGTCATATTGTGAACCGAGCAAGGGATGGAATCCAGAATGAAAGTAGATTCCCGTTGGCACTCTCCCAGCTAGCACAGCATCCTCCCATTTTAGGACCCCCAGGGCTTACTGGGTAACAAGGAATTAAGAGCATCTTACAATCACCACTATAAACAAAAATGCAAGACAAAATAGGAAGCTTAATGTTTCTAAATATTTAGAACAATTCCCACCAAGAAATGTTCTCTTTTAGTACAGAGATCAATAAATTGGTACCGATTCTGAGCTGCCCTGGCCCTTGGGGTTCAATATGTCAAATATCCCTGGGAAATAACTTTATCCAGAGCAGAGACCGACTGGCCCTACAACTGAAACATGAATTGCCTCGGGATGAACACCTTGAACCTGAGAGCAGCGAGCAGTGCCACATGCGCAAATAGCAGTGTGCTCCTGGGAGGGCCTCAGCCTGCAGGTCCCCTGGATCCCACGTGTGCTGTAAAGATTGGACGTCGCGGGGCTCCGTGCTGCCTAAAAGGTCTCCCAAATGCTGTTGGAAGTAACTGCGGGCTGCCTAACTACTTATAGGTTAACGAATAACAATGTTTCTCCCTGGCTGTGGCAGTGGCAGTGTCCTTTATAATAAAAACTTTCCACTTTTGGGGACACTTTTCTGATGTCACCATTATGATGGTACTGGAGATGTTCCGTTGGAAGGACAACTTCCATGAAAAAAAAAAAAAAATAGAAAAAGGGACATCTATAGTATTTTAAACAAAAAATAAAAAAATAGTATAACCTTTTTTATGCTCATCTGATCCCCCCAAAAAGTTAATTTTATTTTTTATTGTAGGAGCAGCCAAAACTGTAGCGCTGCAAAGTGAAAACCTAGCTTCTGCTGCTAGAATACACAGACGGCCCCTTCATGTGGGGTTTTCCCTGGCAAAGTCCGTGGGCTCTTTAAGCTGCAAACACACTGACTCTGAGCCAGTCGTGACCCAGCCTGCTGCTTAGATAGGGATCACATTTCAGACATGAAATGATGGAAAGATTAGTCCCCCAAAATGGCTAATCGATCTTTTAAGCCAAGGGAGTAGTGTATATATTGTTTGTATTCATGATGGTGCCTATAAATTAAAGGCAGAAAAGCTTGATGCCCTTGCTCTCACCAGACAGAATCATTAACTTGACACTATATTGAACAGATTTAGTAGTTCCGGCCCAGAACCTGTTCAGTTCTCATCCTGAATAAAATTTTAGTTAATGTTATGGAGGAATTTAAGAATGCTAGAGGAAGAAAAGAAATCTAACAACACAGATAAGCTTGGTCCATTTAGTTAGCTAATTATACACACGGATATCAATGCACTGGCTTGTTTTCCCAATTCCAGGTCAGTATAAGACTGTGCAGACTTTACTTTTGGAGAAACTGACCAATATTGATCACATCTGATGCATTACTTAAGGTGATCAGCCTACATATTAAATTAGATTTGTGGATCTGTCCACCACTCTGGAAAACAACAATAAAAAAGTACAAGTTTTCAAATGGACATTTCAAGTGATGGCACTAGTGTTAGAGTTTACAGAAATCACACATGTCCTTCACCAAAACTTATAATCACACACCCTTCCTCTTCCCACATGCCTTTCTCTGCAAAAGCCAAGTGTGCGATTTTCTTTGCATTTCTTTTTTGTCTTCCCACTCCCCCAATTTTCTATATCTGGGAACATTTCCCATCTCTTTGATAAATGGTTTCTCTTTCCCTCTGTCATTTTGATCTAGCCTTTAAATGTCCTCTGTGACCATAGTTTACCTCCGAGCTAAATTATTTTCCCTTCCACAAGGTGTATTATTTTTCTAGCAACCCTAAACTTCCTACTGACCTTCTCTTGGCTTGCTTTTTTTTTTTCCCCCAGAAAGTCAGCTCATTTTTTCCCTCTGGGTTCTGGGGTTCCAGCAGAGGTCACTGAAAGTCATCCTGGTAAAGGACAGCCGTGTAGTTAATAATATAGTCATAAAAGCAAAGCTCAACGGAAAATGACTCCTTCACCTAATAAAACCAGCTTGCCCTGGAGACACTGAAGAACCTCCAGGACCCCAGTGGAGAAGCAGAGAGCCCGCGATGCCAAGCTGCATCCCCCGGCTGGCGTGCGGTGGATGCAGAGGGGGGCTCTCTATTACCGATACGTCACATTAATTTTTTAGAAGGGCAAGTGAAGAGTAATGTGTCCAGTTGAGGTAACAGAGGGAACTGAGTGCTGGGAGAAGTAATTATCCAAGTTGGAATCTGACCAGGTTAACAGGGTTAACACCACAACTCACTAGCAAAGTCTGGAGGGTCTCTGGTGTTCACCAAAGGTCACTCTGTCTATTTTTATGTCACATCCAGAAAGTGGCTCCACCAGGAATCCAGTAAGAGGTGGCATTAAAGAAGAGATTAGCTAGTGCCTCTGAGAAAAGAAAAATGACTGCAGCTGGCTCTTTCCCTCCCGGCTGGCCTGCCACCAGCAAATACCGCGAACACAGGCCTTGCGGCGTGCACCAGCCTTATTCCGCAGCGCGAACGCATAACTCGCCCTGCACCATCTCCCTGTGCCCCAGATCTGCTCATCAGAAGGGCGGGAATCACACCTTCAACCGTGACCCAAAGCCCGGACTTGCCAGGCTGTCCCATGTTTGATTTATCTGCTTCCAGATGGAAGCGCTCCCATCTTCTCATCTGCTAAGTCACGTCCCTCCTATTTTTTCACCCACGGAGAGGTCTCTCTGCCCAGCCCAACTCACTGCAGTCTCTGAATTTTTCTGCATCTTTTTTCTTAATTTAAAGAATAATTTTAGTTACTACCAAGTGACAGAACATTTATAAATTTGGGGTTTTTCCGTTGTTGCTTCCTGCAGCTTCTTGGCCCTAATGCCTAAGGTGGCAGCGCGTCTTCCTGATTTCAGTGCTTCCAGGAGGAGGGCTCCTCGGATAACACTCCTGGCCCCTCTGGGCCCTCTCACCCCCTCCCCGGAGGAAGAGGGCAGCGGGCGGCTTGTTTAACTGGCGCGTAGGAGGGGAACCGGGAAGACGCCCTTTCTCTGGGGTCGGGCTGGCTGTGAGAAGCACACAGTCTCTTCTGGTTCCTCATATTGTAGATCAGTGATTTTTAACTTTTTTTTTTTTATCTCACAGCACACATAAATACTAAAATTCTACAGCACACCAAAAAATATATTGTTTGCCAATCTAGCAAAAAAAAAAAAGGTATAATTATGATTCATTCGTACCAGACGGCTATTGTTGTGTTAGCTGTTGTTTTTGACAATCTAAGGGAGAAGAGGTCGGTGCCCCTGACTTAAATGGTCAGGTATTGCATGTATGAAACATTTTTGCGGCTCACCAGTTGAAATCACCGCTGTAGATTTTGGGAAAGACACTTGCTCCCCAGCCTGGGACTGCTGGTTACTAAGCCTGCCTATTTCTGGAGGCCAGTGTTAGGAAACCCACTTCTGTGCAGATAGAAAGCTCATTTTCCAATATATGTTTTCTCAATAATGAAGCTGATATTTTAGCTTCCAATCAGCCCTTTTCTTCTATCCAATTCATTTAGAACTGGGCAATAGAGTTATTTATTCTGCCACCTCAAATCCCAATAACAGATGCACAGAAGACACCCAATTAAGAATATTTTAGAGTCACGGAGCTTTAGAGAGCCGGAAGAGCCTGAAACCTTCTATGTAAAGAAACAGGCTCGGAGGGGCCACACAGCCAATTAGCACAATGGCTGATTGGTTTCCAAATACCTGGTCTAGTGATTAAGACCCCAACTTCTGTAGTCAGACTACTCTCCTTAAACCCTGATCCCCTAACTTGTTAGCCACGTGCACGTGGCCTAATATTTAAACCTCTCTTCTCTGTATTTTCCCATTTGTATAATGGGGGTGATAAAAGTACTGTCTCAGGGTTACTGTGAGGATTAAATGAGATAATTTGTGAAGTGAGTTCAACCCAGTCCGGGGCATGTAGTGAAAACACTTACAAATGTATTTATTATTTCCTACCACATATTCCTAAACTGATTGGCAGTGACTATAGCAACAGAGAAATACGAAATTATGTTGATGAAGATACTGTTTACATTCATTTGTGCTAAGAGCTCAGGCCTCTTTGTGAGTGTGAGTGCCCGGCTGAGGAATGATGCTGCCTGAATTTCACGGGCAGATTTGAATCTCTTCCTGACATTGTACAGTAGACATACTAACCAATATTTGCAAGGTAAAATCAACTGATGGAAACTGCTTTAAAATAATGAAAAAGTAGCCTTCATCAGGGAATTCTTTGCACTATGTCGTGAATTTGCTACTTGCTTCTCCCCTACTATGGGCAGGAGTTTCTGGCTATATACATATAAAATGTGTCTCTTTGAAGCTGATATTATTATGCATATATTTTTTTCTGGTTTATCATTTGAGTTTATCTGTATGACCTTATATAGTCTCTGCGTTTTCTCCTTATGACAAGGGTGCGATATCGCCTTTTATTCTATCCTTCCAGGATATTGGTCCTGGCAGAATCTCTACTCCATGATTATTGTTGACTATGGAAAAAACTGGTATGTGTTGAAAATTAAGAAACCAAATTTCCAGGTCTAATTTCACCTGAATTTGAATTTGTGTGAACCACAAATTCCATAAATACCCCATGTGAAGTACAGCTGACACCAGCCACCCCCACCTTCCAGGCTGATGTAAGAGCAGTGAGATCATGATGGAAAAACTCTCTGGAAATAAGAGCAATTTATTATTTATAACCCAGGTTACAAATTATTTATAACCCCAGGTTATAAGCTGGGCTGATACTTTCCTGAGTCTGGTTGGGGTTCTTTGAACCCCATGGGATGGAATGCATCTCTATCTATGTTTCTTTCTATAGTGATTCTGTCCATTACAGAATCTAAAAGGGCAAGAGATAGACTATCTGGGCAACTAATGGACCCAAGTAGGCTGCAGCATGGTCTAGAGATGCAATAGGAAATTCTTGAAACGCCTTCCCTCTTACTTACTGTATATCTTAATCCTTCAAAATCCTTCAAAATCAGAATCCTTCCAAGAACCCCCCTCTCCTATGAAACTTCCTCTGAGAATCCAGACCACACAATTATTCACACAAAGTCAGTCAGATAGTAGATGGGTTTGACTGATTGACCGTCTGACTATAAGGAATTAAGGTATAATTCTCAAGGGACTTCTGGAGACTATGTCCCTATCTACTTCTTGCTTGAATTATCACTAATAACGCCATGGTTACACTAAAGACAGGAAAATATCTTAAGAGTATGCAAAGCTATTTATTTGAAACTAGAAAATATATTCTCAACTGCCTTGTTTAGCCCTACTTTTGTTCCCAAGTGCAACAAAAAGTCCACCAAAAAGTGAACTGTACAACTGTTGCCACCTATGGGTGACAACTGTAGTATATTAATTTTATCATAATTCCAATGAAGCTTAATATACAAAGGAAATGATGTTTTATGGAACCTACATAATCGTCATCAAACATGAATCTTATCTTTACTGGGTTTGTTACTGATGTTGTTGTTCTGTAATTCTTATTTTAGATGCTCCCCTTAAAGATATTATTGGCTGATGTTTCTGAAGTTCTTTTACAGAATAGAGGTTAAGAGCTTGGGCTCTGTAGGCCAGTTGCCTCCGTCCAAATCCAGACTCGACCATGTACTGCTACAGAGCCTTAAACAACTTAACTTCCGAAAACTTTGATTGCCTATAAATGGAGATACTAAACATACCTACCCGTAGAATTTATGTGAGGTTGGAAACCGATAATCCATGCAACGTGCTTAGCAGAGCGTCTGCACAGAACAGGCACTCAATTAAATGCTAACTGTTATTACCATGATTAGTTTGCAAAGCACCTTTGCACACAGTTGCTGCAAACTAATGAGCACTACTTTGTTTTCATTCAATAGACTACATCATTAGCATGACTGTTTGACCTCAATCACTCCTTATATTTTAAATTTAAATATTATGTGACTTCAAATTTTTAAAAATACCTGATATCTGACAAGACAGTGGAGACAGTGTTGAGGCAAGTTTGGTATGTTTCTAATTGCAGGCAGGGAAGCAAACTGCTTTAGTGCTTTTATACCTAGCTGGCAGGACCACTGGAGAAACCCACACCAACCCGTTGAGGCTCTGCTGACACTAGAGAAAGGTGAACACCTCATCAAGTGTCTGTTGAGAATCTGCTGACGATTTAGTGTTGGGTGAGGCCAGGGATTTTCCCCCTTTTTCATCTCATGGCACACGTAAACTAATTACTAAAATTCTACAGCACACCAAAAAATATATTTTTGCTGATCTGACAAAAAAATAGGTATACTTTTGATTCAGTCACACCAGATGGCTATTGTTGTGTTGGCTGTTGTCATTTTTATATTTGACAATCTAAAGGAAAAGAGGTCAGTGCCCCTGACTAAATAGTCAGGTATGGCATGTTGTAAAACTTCTTGTGGCACACCAGTTGGAAATCACTGGGTTAGTCATTTAGGGAAAAATCTCATGGGGGAAGGGAGATAAGAGACAGAAAAAAGAAGAGTAGGACAGAAAAAAGTATAAAATGATCTCTAGCTCAGAAGTTGAAACAATGCAAAAATTGCAATTTGGCTTAAATAGTGAGGGGGGGTTATTATTGTTTCTTTTTTTTTTTTTAAATATATCTTTATTGATTTCAGAGAGAGGAAAGGAGAGGGAGAGAGAGAGATAGAAACATCAGTGATGAGAGAGTCATTGATCGGCTGCCTCCCGCACGCCCCAGACTGGCGACAGAGCCCGCTACCCGGGCATGTGCCCTGACCAGGAATCAAACCCCGATCGCCTGGATCCTAGGTTGATGCTCAACTACTGAGCCACTCCCGGCTGGGCTCTTTTTTTCTTAATATAAACAAATAACTAAAAAGCAAAAGATTTTAAATATAAGCAAATATTGTTCTAGATTTATGGCCTTACCTTTAAAATCAAAATATCTGGACCAGTGTTTCTGCACAGCAGCAATACACTAAATTTAAGTACAGGAATACCTCATTTTATTGCTCTTCACATAGATGTTCCTTTTTTTTTTTTTTCAAATTGAAGGCAAGAGCCTCCACTAGCAAAGAGATTGTGACTCTCTTTGTTGCAATGATCTGGAACTGAACCCACCGTATCCCACAAGTTTTACCTGTAGCTGCTCTCGCCTTTCAATTAGGCACCCGCTCGTGAGCTGACCACAGTCCGCACCACTGCCTATCGCTCCCCAACACTGAGGCTGACTGCCAGTTGGCCCTCATTGTCATTCTTGCACTGATGTTGTCCTTATAGTCAAAAAGTATTTCTATACTCACCTCTTATCAAAACTGAAAATTAAAGACTAGGAAGACCATGTGATTTTTCTTAAAATGGGCCATGTCTTCATTCCCGTCACCTTCCTGGCCAATGTAAGTGTTGTTATATTCAATTGAATAATGTTGTTATAATTAATTGAAGAAACAAACCTGTAAGCAATGAAGCATGTAGAAAACATGATGCATGATTTGTGTCCAATAGGCAGTGGGTGTTTTAATGGTAAATACATCTCTTCCCTCATCTCTACCATAATATACTTTTCACATCCTTTCCAAGACTACAGCTTCTTCTAGACTAGTGATTCTCCAATACTAGCATCTATGAGAATCACCTGGTGAACTGGTTAAAAATTGGCTGTGCATTAGCATTTCTGATGTAGTAAATCTGTGTGGGGCTCAAGAATTTGCATTTCTAACCATCTCTGAAGTTATGCTGATGTTATTGGCCTGGAGAACACAGTTTGAGAATCACTATTCGCGAGTAAGAATTCTGTCTTACTATTATTTATTTATTGTACCATTGACTGAGTACCTATTACTATGTGTCAAGATCTTAAGGTATTGTATTTCTAATACTTAGGTCAATCCTGAAGTAAAGGTGTGTCTTATCACCATTTACACCTGAGGAAGGATGCTCTGGGCACTGACCCAACCAGTAAAAGAGAAAACCTGAGAGAGATTCAGGCTCAGATCTGTCTGCCTCCAGGGCCCCAACTTGCCTCCACAGGATGCGATTTTATTCAGCCTTATATCCTCAGCACCAAAACCCTCCACCTGACCCATGGTAGCATCGCTAATAAATGTTTATTGAATAATTTGAGATCCACATTAACCAGAAACAGTCAAGGAAAATGCCTGTGGTTCTTGAATGAGGTAAAAGAGAGAACATAGTCATGTGAGGAGAAAATCATATTGAATGCCCTTTATTTACCCACACTTGGTATAATCAAAGCATTTCCTACTCTCTCCATGTATTTTTAGTATTGTGCTGTATAATTCTTTGCTTAAAATGCCTAAAAAACGGTATGACGTGAATAGGGACTTTTGTATGCAGTTACTCCTAACTGTGGGACCACTTTTCTGTAATCGGCTAGGAGTCTGTCCCTCAGCCCACCTGTGGTTTCAAGGTAGCCGTCTGAGATTGAAACTAGCTCTGTAAGTCATGCTCCTGCACATTAATAGTATAATGAAATAAGCACCACTTCAAGGATGATTTTTCAAGTATCCCCATAGAATTACGCCATTTCTCAGAGCAGAGAGAGAAACTCTGCCTGAGCCTGCTCTTGGAACAGGGAAGTCATCCACTTCTGTATCTTTTCTGTACCTTTTCTCTTTCTATTAAATTTTTAACACATGGTAGGTAAAAAGAATAAAATGGCAATAAGTGAGTGCCTGTCAATAATAACCGTAAATGTAAATGGATTAAATGCTCCAATCAAAAAACATAGGGCAGCTAAATAGATAAGAAAACATAACCCATGTGTATGCTTTCTACAAGGCCCCAGATACCCCAGCAATCTTGAGGAAGAACTAAGTTGGAGGGATTACAATACCTGATATCAAACTATACTACAAGCCCATAGTACTCAAAACAGCATGGTACTGGCATAAAAACAGACATATACATCAATAGAACAGAACTGAGAGCCCAGAAATAAATCCACGCCTTTATGGTCGATTAATATTCAACAAAGGAGGGGGGAACATACAATGGAGTAAAGACAGTCTCTTCAATAAATGGTGCTGGGAAAATTGGACAGGTATACACACAAAAATGAAACTAACTCACCAAATTACACCATACACAAGAATAAACTCAAAATGGATAAAAGACTTAAATGTAAGTCACAAAACCATAAAAATTCTAGAAGAAAACATAGTCAATAAAATCTCAGACATCTCTTGTAGCAGTATTTTTGCTGATATACCTCCTCAGGCAAGGGAAACAAAATAAAAAAATAAACAAATGGGAATGCACCAAACTAAAAAGCTTTTTGCACAGCAAAAAAAAATAAAATAAAAACATCAAAAAATGAAAAAGGAACTCACTGTATGTGAGAACATATCTGCCAATGATACATCTGATAAGTAGTTAATTATTAAAATATATAAAGAACTTACAACATCAAGACAATCCAATTTTAAAAATGGCCAAAGGACCTGAATAAATACTTCTCCAAAGAGGACATAGAGATGGCTAAGAGACATATGAAAAAATGCTCAACATCACTCATCATCAGAGATACCAACTCACACCAGTCAGAATGCCTATCATCCATAAATCAACAAACAAACAGTACTGGCAAGGGTGTGGAGAAAAGAGAACCCTCGTGAACTGTTGGTGGGAATGCAGACTGGTGCAGCCACTGGCGAAAACAGTATGAGATTTCCTCAAAAAATTAAACATGGAACTGCCTTTTGACCCAGCAATCCTACTTCTGAGAATTTATCCTAAGAAACCCAAAACACTAAATCAAAAGAATATATGCACCCCTATATTGCAGTATTATTTACAGTAGCCAAGATCCGGAAACAGCCTAAGTGCCCATCACCAGATTATTGCATAAAAAAGCCAAAGTGCATTTATACAGTGGCCTACTACATGGCCA